CGGTGACTCCACCCCCTCCCTGGGCAGTGCACCCCAATGCTTGATCACCCTCTTGATAATTTATAAACTGTTACACGTTGCTCTTAGAAGAAAAATGCTTTGCCATATAGTACTTGTAGTTGTACCTCTGCAATAGCTCTCTCCAGTACTTCAGCATATATTTCAGGTGACAATGTAACTTCAGAGGCTGACGCACTTTTTACAGCTTCTTCTATCATCGCTTGAACTTCTGGGTGGTCTGCAGTTATCTCTGACATTCCTAACAATATAGATTATTTAAAATGCTTCATAAAATTCTGAAATATTTATTTCCTCTGGTCAGGAATAACTGCTAGGCGATTAAAGCCAGCCATTTCATAATTACAGCACAACACTCATTTTAAGCAATATTACACAGTCACACTGAGAAAGAATCAAATGCCACTTCTTAATGCAGTTCTAGAAGGTATTTCATAAAGATAAGTTTTAAGATCTTGGTTTGCTCCTTCATCACAAAAAACAACTCTTTTTAATTGTACAGTGTTTTCTACCACTACGTGAAACACTGTTTCAGTATGAATGGGATGGTGTTTGTGTACTAGAACAATCAGACACCTGCAGCACCTGACAATTTCCTTTGTTTTGATTTTTCTTTGATTCCTAAATCAAAAGGTTGACTAGATTATAAAGCAATCCAAACCTTAGATCAACACAGTATATTGTCAACAAACAAGAAGCCTGCATTCCCTAAGATGCAGATAATGTTCATATTAGATCCATATTTTGTTATTAATTGCTAACAAACTGGACTGTAATTGCTTTAAAATTTTGTAAAGAACACTTGGAGTGAGTTCACGTATTACAAACTAATTTGATAAAATTTGGTGAAGAACTTTTTTAAGCAACTGCAGTATTTATTACATGAAGTGTAAAATATGGGAAAAAATGCCATATTTACGTTATGTAATTATGCCAAGATTTTCCACTGATGTGGTGAAACTTTTTACGTGCACAAGTTTGCACATTATCAAGTTATTTCTGCCAAGTTACAAGCTCCCCGGGAAAGGGACAACATGTTACTGTTCCCATTCTGCAAAACACCTGAGCCCAACACAAACCCCAAACCAAACATACTTTACTGTTTTCATAGCTAAAGATACTATATTCTGCTTCTCCAATTCAAGAAATACATCTTTCTTTAGTGCTCTTTCAACATCTTTTGCTTGTACAGAATGTCATAAATTAAAGGAAGAATGTAACTGAAGGAACGAATATTTTTCTTTAAATAGACAAATTTGTAAAAACTACCTCAAAATCCACATCTATTTCATTTCCATTTTAGAATCTTATAAATATATTTCATTAATGTCCATTAATTTGATCTACCTAATAATCTATCTTCCTTGGCTGAGATGAAATATCGGTCTGCTCTGTATGAAAAAAATGCTACTATTTATAAATTACGTGAGGCTTACAAACATATTTCATTTGTTTCAGTATATTCCAACAGGTTAAAACTTAGCATATTTTTTAGTTTCTCGTACTGAAGTGGCAAAAACTCCTACTCTTGAATTCAGGTCCTCTGTTCACTGATTTTTTTGTGTGTAAATTAACACCCATTTTCCTTATCTATTAAATAATTCTGAAAAAAATCTCATGCTATAAAAAGATACGTAGCTGAAACTACCAAACTTTTAAAAAAAATACATACTTAGCTCATAAAAACGTCAGCGGAAGTTTTTTTCCTGTACTCTGACGTGGCATAATGGGTTAATATCTTTCAATGTCAAAATCAACCATTTCATTTTAGGTTTCTCAAAATGACAGCATCAGCAACAAGGTAAAAATGAAAAATAGTCCTACAAGTGCAAATGAGGAGAAAAAAATCTTTCACTTTTAAAATTGTAAGACACACTGATGGCATGGAATGACATGCTTAAAATAGCTAAGATGTAGTTTTAACCTTTTTGGATGATGTCAGGTTTTACAGTAGTCCCCTCTTCCAAGTTCATTCCCTCTCTGGTTTCAGCGGGTTCTTCAGAATCATCTATTTCCTTGACCCTACTCTGTTCTTGTAAGTCTCCTATAGTTATGAAATCATATTAAATTCACAGAAAACTAGATTAGTACAAAATGCTTTTATACAAATATTTCACAATCAAATCTATCTGACTAAACGAGTTACATGTCAGCCTTCTCTTTATCTGCAGCCTCCCAGTCTGTGGAATCCCCAACACAGCTCCTAGGAATCACAAGCACTTTTCCAGCCCTAGGTGAAGGCAAGACTAGTACCCATCAGCCTGTGAGACACAAGTGGCTCCCTAGCAATATCAGTTTATATATCCCTGTTTCTACCCTGAAAATAAAAGAGATGAGAAATATGACAAAAGTCACAGAAATATTTAAAAATACACAAGTCCTGAACGCTTGTTCAGAACTAATTTCTTCTTTCAAAAAGAGCTCAGAAAATTTTCTTATTTACTTGTGGCCCTCAACTGCAAAGGATTTATATATAATATCAAAACTACTGAAGTCTACTCATCTATTGGCTTGACTGCATGTTCTTTTAGTTTATTTTTAATGCACAACAATCTAACAACTTCTGTAAGATTTTCTAAGTTGATGTGACAGCAATTGCTTCAGTTAACATAAAGCAAGTAAGATAGCTTCAAAGACCATGGAATATTTTATTCACCTGATTCTCTTGACTGTTTTGCTAATTCCAATCTATTTTTCACTGCTGTTATAGCCTTTTCTACTGCATCCCTTCGCACTTGCTCAATGTTTTCTTCTTTTGATTCTTCCACATGTGCTTGAATGAGTTTGGCCATATCAAGAACCTAGTGAAATTATTTGAAAAAATAAAAATATCACAGAAGAGAAATATAGCATCTGATCCAACTTCCATATAAAGAAATGCATTTAGAAATGCTCTGCAAATTTTAGAAGAAATCACATATAATTCAAGTTCAGGATTTTTTTTTGTTGAAAAAGAATTTCTAAATTAGATTTCCACCTAATTGTCTTAGATACAACAGCTATTCATAATATTCTTATACTAATACAAAATCTGACACATAAATTTTTTTTAATATATAGGGAAAATAAAAAGATTTTTTGTATTCAGCTACTTTTACATAAGTTAATTCCACTAAATTACTGTTTCCTCTGTAATCGATGTTTGCAATGTGTATGTTAATAACACAAGTATAAGAATCTGCTGAACTGATTCCCAAGCCTCAGCTGATACCCTTGTTACATAAAAAATTTATAAACTTACCTTTCCTTTATATTTGTGTGCAATTAGGTTACAAATTGTTGTTCTTCCAGAGAATGGAGGACCAAATACTAGCACTTTACAAGGAGGAAGTGGCATTGGTGGCAACAGGTAAGGCCGTGGATTCAACATAAATGTTTTCAATGCCTCTGGGGATGACAGCATGTACATTTTACCTAGAAAACTTAAAACAGAAGAGAAGCTAACAGATATAGACAGTCTGTGAAATAGAAATAAAAATAAAAAGTGTCAAATTTCACTAACCTGACAGCCAATTCTCGGTTTCCCATTACGATATCACCTTCCTTTAGAGCCACGGGACATGCTTGCCCCCATCTACTTCTACGCCATCGATATCTGGGTGCTATTAAGTTGTAAGATGACAGAACACGGAGAAGTTCATCCTGTTTATAAAACCAGCAATAACAGTATATGTAATTTTTGTCTGAAGCTACATATGCCTTGCTCTTAGCCTGTTTGGAAATATTTTGTTGGAAAATAAGCAAACCTAAACAGAAAACCACATCACACTTTTTAGAATATTTTGTAAAAATTTATGTATTTCATAATTGGTTTTGTATTTTATTTAATTAAAACAGTACTTAAAATAGTTCCTGTAGGCTTCATTTGTTATTTTCATAAGTTTAAAAAAATTGAAGAGGTACAAATCAGCCACATATTGAAGATTACAGAAAATTACCAGGATTTCTTCTAAAGGGAATGAAGGAAGGACCACGGTCTGTAGGGGGGAATAGCAAGATCATATTATTTCTTTTAGGCATGTGGAAATGTCATGTGATAGTCATTAATGTCATTCAGTTTCATAGACATTTTACAGAAGCTGAATAGTGAGTGAATCCTAAAGTTTATGTACTATTCTAAATAATTCAGAATAGTACAAACAAGCACTGGCTGTGAAAAACTGCATAAGGACCTTCAGAATCTAGGAAGCCAGGCATATTCTAAATAATTCAGAATAGTACAAACAAGTGCTGGCTGTGAAAAACTGCAGAAGGGCCTTCAGAATCTAGGAAGCCAGGCGTTAAAACAACATTTTTACACAGACAATGATGAATTGTCATTGACTGTCACTACTCAGGAATAGATCTTGGAATTATAATACATACTTTCATGAAAACATCTGGTCAATGCCCAAGAGCAGTCAGAAAACCATCCTGAATTTTAGGAACGTTTAGCAAAGTGAAAATAGAAGATGAAGGTTTATTTTTTTTTATTGTATAAATTCTGCCACAGCTATGTGCATTCTGCTACCCTAATCTCCCAAAGTGCACAGCAGAATTGAAGAAGTTTCAAAACCATTCTGCTACCCTAATCTCCCAAAGTGCACAGTAGAATTGAAAAAGTTTCAAAACTGGGTTATATGACTGATCAATCACACAAAAAGATTTTCATGAAAGAAGAAATAAGATTAAGTAGCCTACATTCAGCTATGCCGGATGTTGCTAAATCTGTATTAGGATGCTGGTTTTCATTCGGGAAAAGAATGAGGGCTAAACTATGAGTCAGCTGCTAAGATTGTTTTCCTTTGGCTAGAGTTTCTCTATTTTTTGCAAAGAATTCATTCTTCCTCTACTGCTAAACCAAACATTTTGTTAAATATCTTATTATAACTTTTTTTTTTAATAACAGACTTAACCAAACATTTTGTTAAATATCTTATTATAATCATCTAACTTCTTTTTTTTTAATAACAGACTTTTTTTTTCATACTCTTTTAAGTCGATTTTAGTCGCAGCATTACCTTAAATTCACATTTCTGGAAAACTGAGGCTCAAAAAATGCCCTTACTGCATGGTAAAACAAACTGAAGAAACTGTTTGTTTTGAAACTAAGGCATTATAATATAAGCTTACAGCAGAAAATAAAAAACATTTTAATAAGTATTACAGTCGATCACATTTTAGAAAAACACACTTACACTTTCCAGTCCCTCCAGCATTTCTTCTTCTGGATTTGGAAGTCTAATTATAGGAGCTCCATTTTGAACACCCAGCGACTGAAGCTGAACTGCCACTGACTGAAAAGAAAATCACTCTTGACTTAGTACCAATCAAACCTGCTTTTAGGATTTAAAAGGACCCCCAAAGTATTCTTAAAAATGTAACTCACTATTAATATAATGGCTACATATACACCAAGGCCCAATTTCTAGCTTGGAGTCAAACTAGTTATTGAGCTGAATTTTAACAAGCTATTTGGTAGATACAGGGAGTGCAAAATGCCAAATCACAGCCTTTACATCTCCTCATTATGTTGTGAATCCCAAGCCTTCTAAAGGAATAGGCTATGAAGGATTCTGTCTCACAAAGCAGTGAAAATATTTAGATGAGCCCCAATCCGAAAAGGAGGAAAATCTCTTTAGGAGATCAGACTATGCACACTTGGAAATAATACAGCTTTGGGCAACGTTTTTAAAAAGATACTTAAACCAGATGTCTGCCAATGAGAATTAGATGATGTTACATTTAACTGAAGTATTTCCTGAATGCAATCTGGCTTGAATGCAACCGTTCTTTAGATGAAAAAGGAAATGTTGTCATGTTTGAACTAGCTTCACAATAGATATTTGCCTTACTTGTAGGTAAAATGGTTGGAATCATTATATTACTGGATTGCCTTTACTACAAATCTTCTGAAGTAATGTTCACAAACAGGTTGTAAATGAGGAAATCTTATGTTCCAACTCTGCAAAATTAACAGGTTTTTTTTTTTCCCAATAGGACTAATCCTGGTAGTAAAGTTAAATATAAATTGAAATAATACTTACAGAATTGTAATTGATTCAATTTGTTTCAAAAAACAGAAAGAAAACTGCAAGAGCAGCACATTTCCTACATTGCCAAAGACAACCTCTCACTTCATTTTCAACCTAATAATTAGGTTCTGATTTGAAGCAACTCTTATTTCTAAGGCAGAGGATAAGATTATTTATCTTCAAGATTTGTCACTGTAGCTTTTTTAATAGGGAGGACAAGTTGCTGTGCTATGAGCTAAAAATCTAGACACAAGCCCTCAGCAAAATTGTCGAAAGGAAAAGAATCAAGTGTCTTCTATTACACTGTAAAACAATATCAAATTTCATAAAAACTCCACCAGTATTTTAGACACCAGTACAAAATAAGCCAATTCTGTAAATATATCATACTGAAAATGTTTTAATTTCTCATGTTAATAATGATATCTTACACTAATACACAAAATACAGTGCTAAAAACAGACTGATAAAATACAGAAGAGGTTGTAGCCTGCCTGAAAATATTTGCATGAAACATATACGTAAGCCTGGCAGCAGTGCAGTGAACAGTATAATTGCTTTGGCAGAGCAACAAAAGCAACCATTTCAAAGGTCATGTTTTCTAGCTGTAATTAAGCGGGTTTTATAAACAGCTTAAAATTTTCCCAACACGTTAATAAAGAAAACAATCCACAGAATTGAGAAATTATTTTCTAGTGGAGGTTAATTAAGTTGATGCATAGCTAACTTACTAGAAAGAGATCATCCGGTTGCTGATTTCCATCCAGTTCAATGAGATGGTGACAAACCTGTTCAGCCATCAAGTCCTGTTTAAGAACAGAGTCATGCTCATCAACTGAGCATAGTTTGCCAGATATGGATAGTGAAGCTCATTGTTTTCCTATACATATCAAAAGCTGGGCTCCTGTGGACTTCAGCAGAACCAAGATTCATTGTACTAGTGACTTATAAAATCTTCTGGTGAGAAACTTTTATTTGGTGATGGGTAAGTACAGAGAGAATTCCAAAAGTGGAGTTATAAGAGGTTCAGAAAACAGACTAGATACCCTAGCTCAAATGCATAAGAGCTACAAAGAATCAAGATACAGTAATGTTTGGTGCGTGAATTCAACTTCTAATTGTATAACTACCTTAATTCTTTGATGGAAATTGGTGAAAATGTCAATTAACAGACTTCTTGGAAATACTAGTCATGAGACCAATGTTTTCTTTTTGGTCTTGACTCTCAATTTCTGTAAAATTTGAGCGATATACTTGATTTTCTGACTAGTAAATGAGGTATTAAACTAAAATAGACCTCCCATGTCCATTGTTAATGTTTCTGTCTGAGGACTGAGAAAACTCACTCCATTCCTGAGAGATGTTAGTCTAACCTCAGCCTTGAAAAGGCCTAGTGATGGTGATTTTACAGCTTTCTAGGTAACGTATTCCAGTTCTACACTACACAGATGGTCAGAGTTCATTTCCTTGCATCTAGTCTAAGTCTTCTATACAGTAAATTAAATTATTTTTCCTATCTTGTTGATTTAGGTAAAAACTAATGACTTCTTTCTAATACTCTTCTACAGAGAAGATACTAGTACAATACATATTATTAGTACATCCATAATATTTGGTTTTGCACAATAGCATCACATTTATTGACTCAGTTTATGACTAACTAAAATGCCAGGCTGCAATACTGAGGTCTAGCCAATTATTTCACTTGTAGTTGTTCCCTGGGTTCCTTCTCTAAGTGTAGTATTTCACATTTATTTCTACCTAATTTAATCCTAACAACTTATCAAGAAATCTAACTTTGTTCTCAAAAGTTGTTTCTACCTATTTCAGTTTGGTGCAAACTGCACATCTTAAAAGCTTTTTTTCCAATTTCATCATCTCATCCTCTACCTGGGCTGGTGTCAGATCCCCATGTTCTTTTAACGTATTAGTGGACCACTAAGTATGTTCACTAATACATTCATCTTTAGTGAAGCCTAAGTAAGACCTATCAAGTGGAATGTGTTGGAAGTGTTGAAGTTTGGTCTATATCCTAAAGTAATTTAATCTAAACAATTTTCCATTAGCGTGCTTACAAGAAATCCATGTGAAATTGTATAATCATTAAAGGTAGAACATTTTTTGCCTTCCCCTTCACAGCAGTAACAAGTCTGTTACTCTAACAAAGAACAACGTACCAGTTTTACGCAATTTTTTCCTATGGGTTTATCTAATTCATAGGGAAGTTGAAGGACATAGATAAATGTTAACTGTCAAGTGTGTAGCAAACATGAGGCTTTTGCAGTTACTTGTACCAGGAGATTTTAAAAAAAAAAAAAAGCATACATAATCTGCAGGCAGTGAAGCAGGTGAGGAAGGAATGGACATCTATTGGAATGGAAGGCAATGGATGCAAAGTGCACATTTCTGATGGGATAACATGCTAAGGCTCTTCAAATACTTCACTTCCTAGATGAAGAAGGCCTCTGTGGTGGCACATATGGTTTCACTTTTAAAACTCAAAGTGGATTACTTTATCTTGGCTCCAGAGTAGAAACAATACCTACGGATGACAACTTTCTATCAATGATTGCAGTATGAATTTCAGAACTTGGGGATATGTTGTAGCCTGCCTTGTGTCCACCTCCATACAATAAATCTCAAACTTAAAGAAAAATTAAAATAAATACTGCAAGGTATTTTAAAAATTCATTTTTATACATTATCATATTATTTTGCTTTTTCTTACTTCTAAAGGATGAAGCATTATATCCTTATACATTCCAATTCTTTCCTCTGCATTTTCAAGAATATCTTCAGGCCTCTGCACTAACTGATGCAAAAATTCTGACATCATAAGTGGATCTTCTGCAGTCTGCAGAATGAAAAGTTAAATATTTCAAGATACAGAAATTATACAGAGTACTAAACTAATTTTTGTCTTTACTCAAAGGTAAATAAAGTAGCTCTCCAGAGTACTGCAGCGAGTATTAGCCCAGTGATTGCTGACCGTGATCCTATGCTGATGATGTGTAATTTCTGCAAACTGAGAGGACGTGGCTAGAACTTGCATTGGTAAGTCTCTGGACAGCATTATAAACCAGAGCAATTCAACATGAATTCAAAATTAATACCTTCATGAAAAAAAAAAAAGAAAATTCATTTGTAGTAGTCTAACATCAAAATCAGAAAACAAGCTTATGTTCTCCAAATACTAGTAAAACTCGTTTCAGCAAACAAAAATTAAAGCTTTTATTTACTTAGATGAAGAAACACAATAGAGTGACCATTCTGATAAATCCTTTTATGTATTATCTCACATTTATTACAGCAGAACAGAAACTGAATTAAGATTAAAGTTGAGCAAAATTAATTGATAATGTAGTATAGAGATATCTTGGAATATCAGAATTTGTTCTGCTTTGTCTAGAGTACATTATAAAACTCTGCACTGTTTAGAAATTACCAATATTTACCTCCTCCTCCTCTTCTTCTTCTTCTAGCTTTTCTTCTTCTTCTTCATTCTCTTCTGCATTCTCTTCTTCATCTTTCTCATGCTTTTTAATAACATTAGGATCCCACTGGTTCCTCTGATATACCTGCCCTGAAATAGGGTGTTGTCTTTGTCCTGTTATTCTTTGGCATAAGTCATAATCTGGACACTAGCAAGGAATAATTAAAAAGAAATAATGTGTTCATTTTACTGCTACGGCTTTTGTTTTTCCTCTGAAACTGAAGAATAGCAGGTAGGAGTTTGGCAAATATTTGGATTCATAAAATTCTTCTCCAATAATATTCTGAGTAAACACAAAATTTTCAAAAGCAGCAAATATTAAAAAAAGACTTAAACACGTGCATAGTTTTTCCCCATCAGCATTTTACATTCCATATTCAGAACTGTAACCACTACTTACGCACATTTTACCATGCAAGTTATACCTTGTAGTATAACAAGTGTAGGTACAGTTTCTGGATAAAAGTATTTGGCAGACAGGTTTGTGATTGCTCTTGCAATTACTGCCAAAGTGGTTTAGACTTGAGCAAGATTAAGTCAATTTTACTAGGTGCCTCTGACCTCTCAGAGCTCTGCTATTACCCAAAAGCATAGTGCCACTGTGTCAGAGGATAAAGGAGTTCAGCAGTTTGCAGCTCCGGCAGAGTAAGCAATGATCTTTCCATAAAAAGCCCATTAAGCACAAATGCAGTTAACATTAAACACAGATAAATCTGGGTGTGGTCTGTGGGGATAAAATTATCAATTTTTAAGATTTGGGAGGTCTGCCTAAGAAGTTTTTCCTAACTAAACATTCTAACTAAAACATTTACTCTAACTAAAACATTCCTTTCAACTGAAAGCTAATGGTCTGTGACTGTTTCCACCTCTCCACTTCTGAGCTAAGATAATACTGGGTGTCCCACTCCTAGAGGCTCTACCCAGAGCCTTCTTTCTACTTTGTCATATTACGTACTGTTTGATTCCTTCTTAGAAGGAATGGCTGTTAGCAAGCTACTTAAGGAGTCCATCCATTCCTGGGACGGATACCTGACACGGTTAACATTGAAAGGAATTTTTTTCCTCATCTCTCTCTTTTTATTTTCTTCTTTTTTTTTTCTTCTTTTTTTTTTCCTTCTTTTTTTTTTCCTGAAGCAAAAAGCTTGTTGGGTCTCTGCAACCACTGAGCAAAGAACAGGGGATCAGAGGGCAAGATGCTGTCTGAATGTTTGATCACTATTATCATAGTTAATAAAGCTTCTACCTGGCCTATCCTAAATTGCTGTTGCATTAATATGCACTTGGAGTCCCCAAATCTCCAACAAGTCTTAAGAAGGGTATCTTAAAATTCTCCTATGGAATTGAGGGTGAGGCAGAACAAAACAAATAATCATTCTTCCTTTCTAAAGCACTAACATCTACACTTCAAACAGCAAGGCAAGCGGTAGGCAATACTGGAGACTCCTGGAATGCATTAAGCCAGGTAACGGACAGCCCTAGCAGAGGTGATGTAATTCTGGACCTGATGGTCACCAAGGCAAGTGAGTTAATCAGTGGCGTCAAGACGGGAGGCAGCCTGGACTGCAGTGATCACGCACTGATGGAGTTCACAGTCCTGAGGGATATGGGTCAGGCAAAGTGTAAAAAGTCAGGACCCTAAATTTCAGGAAAGCAACCAATAGGACCCCCTGTGAAACTGCCCTCAGGAACAAGGGAGCAGAACATAGCTGGCTCATCTTTAAGGACACCTTCCATAGAGCTCAAGAGCTCTCTATCCCGCAGTGTAAGAAATCAGGCAAGGAAGGCAAGAGATCACCATGGCTTATTCAAGACCTGCTGGTCAAATCAAAGGGCAAAAACACACAGGCAGTGGAAACAGGGACAGGTATCCTGGGAAGAATATAGGGATGATGCCTGGCTATGTTGGGATGGGGTCAGGAAGGCCGAGGCACAGCTGGAGCTGAACTTGGCAAGGGATGCAAAGAGTAATAAGGACTTCTACAGGTATGCCAGCCAGAAAAGGAAGGTCAAAGAAAGCATATGCACCCTGAGTAGCAAGACTGGCAAGCTGGTGACCACAGAGGAGGATAAGGGCGAGGTACTCAGCAACTTTTTTGCCTCAGTCTTCACTGGCAACCTCTCTTCCCACACTTCTTGAGGGGATGGACTGCAAGACACGGACTGGGAGAGTGAAGTGTCTCCCCCTGTAATAGAAGATTAGGTTTGTGACCACTTGAGGAACGTTAAAATACATGTCTATGGGACCCGATGAGATGCATCCCAGAGTCGGAGCAGTGAGACACCTCTCCTATGAAGTGAAGCTGAGAGTATCGGGGTTGTTCAGCCTGGAGAAAGCTCTGCAGGAACCTTCCAGTGGGCTTCCAGTACTTAAAAAGGGCTGTCAGGGTTTGAGTCTGGCAAGGGTTTTTGGTAGTGGGGGAGGGCTGTGATGGATGGCTCCTTTCGAAACTTCCAGAGCCTCCCCCAGCACCAGGTGAAAGTTGGACCCACCTCTGGCCAAGGCCAGGGCAATTAGCACCTCTGTGAACAATGTATTTATAAGAGGGGAATCCTGCTGGGCCTTTGTCTTTGTGTGCTCTCTTTTGTGTTGGGGAGTATTTCTGTTTGGAGGAGGTGTTGGTGAGAGGAGAGCAAAAGGATGTGGTCAGTGAGGAAGGGAGAGGGCAAAGGCATCAGGGCAGAGCATTTCCCTGGAGCCCCGTGGTGACTGAGATGGCGGGGAGATGATTGCCTGCGAATTGAGATCGCAGTGAAATGTTCAGGATGCAGCGGCATGTGGAGGACCCTATACCACGGGAGAGAGAGACCACACAGGAGCAGAGGACATGCCCAAAGCAATGCCCAACTCCAAGGCTGGTGCCACACTGCTGGAAAAGACTCACGTGGAGGGAAAGGATTGCCTCCCATGAGATGGACACCCTGTGGCATCAAGGGAAGACTGTAACAGCCAGATGGACCACACACACCACCCCCTGCCCTTCTTGCACCAATGGGGAGCAGGAGGTAACTGGGAAGAAGGGAGAAGTGTGGGGGGGAAGGGTCTGTACGATTGGGTTGTATTTATTTATGTATTTCTCTCACTATCCTGCTCTCATTCAGTTAATAATTTGTGGTGGTAGATTAAATTTATGTTTTCTCCCCAAGTCTAGTCTGGTTTCTGCCCAAGACCATAAGTGGTGAATGAACCCTCTTTGTCTTAATCTCAATCCTTGAGCCTTTTTGTTGAATTTTCTCACTCCTCATTCCTCTTGGTCAGAGGAGTGAGAGACTGGCTGTGCATTATTTTTGTTGCCAGTCCAGGCAGTCAGCTCAAACCACAACAGGGGCCTATAAGAAAGATGGAGACAATCTCTTTAGCAGGGCCTGTTGTGATAGGACAAAGAGTAAGGGTTTTAAACTACAGGAGAGTAGATTTAGACTAGATACAAGGAAGAAATTTTTTACAATGAGAGTGGCAAACAGTAGAACAATTTGCACAGAAAGATGGTGGAAATCCCATGCCTAGAAACATTCAAGGTCAGAGTGAACAGGGCTCTGAGCAACCTGATCCAGTTAAAGATGTCCCTGCTTATCACAAGGGTGTTGGACCAGATGGCCTTTAAATCATTCTATATATGAAAAACCTGAGATAACAAGTTGTTAAGTTCAAATTGTTATAGGAATGGAGAACTGATTTTCTACAAATTAAGTCTTGAGAGCATGGAAGTAAAACTCACATGGACTTAAATATGGCAAAGTGATAGACTAGGTCCAGGCACGGAAGATTAACATCTGACAGATCACATAGATATGACAACTAGAATCAAAATCCCTATCAGAATGGAGCCCAACACCAGAGGCTGATTATTCAGTTGCCTCAGCAGCTCATTCTGTGCATTCAGAGTAAAAGACAAAAATAATCTAGCTGTAATAGATAAAATATTGCAAGAGGAAGGGCCTGAACCCTTGTTCAGGATTATACATACTATTTGTCTGCATGGAGTCTGACAAAGTAGGCCAGCTAGTATTCTCCCTGGTGAATAGCTGAGCACAATCTGAAGAATGGCACAGGCTTAGGGCAGTCCCCAAAGCGCAGTTCGGACGTGGCCACCCCATTCTGACTAACGAAGCAAGTTAGCAGAGTTCTGCCAAAGCAATTGGCCTGATGTCTGAAGAGCTACCCTTGTCATGTTTTATTTACTAATATGGACATAGCCAGCAAGTCCACCCTTTTGAGTTATGTTGAGCAAGTCTTCTTAATCCTACACTAACAATGATTTATGGTAATGTTTCTCTATTTACATTAGAGATACTTTTGTAAGCTATGTGGTGTGTCACATTGCTACTCATGAAAAAATTGAGATTTGTAAATGAGATGAATTAGTAGTGACTAAGGAGCAGTTCCACAATTAATGAGTAAAAAATAACACAATTTGCTTTCAAACTTCCATACATGAAAAATTTCTTCCTGAAACACATCAATGGCATATGTATTTTGTATCTAAAATCTAGTAATAACAATGTTATTCAGTTTTCTTTTCTTGAAAACCTGCATCTTCTGACTGGTAGAGGTGCAAAAAACCGTAACTGTTACTGAAGTTTCAGGAAATGTTCCTTATTTTACATGAGGAATGTTTATAATGAAACAAGTTATCGTAATTCCATTCCAATATAAAAGAGAATGATTTATTATTTCTTGATAAATGCTATACTCCAATGCACAAGGGAAAATATTATCTTTTAACTTATGCAGCATACAAGTCCACTGAAAATTAGGAAAATTGCTAGCAAGTTACTGAAGATGACAATACCTTAATGTTAATCAGGAAATCTGGTTTTAATTTTAGATTCTTTATTTTTTCTATTTGCTGTGAAATAGTCATGTATTCCTCTGAGAGAGAAGGAAATCCACTGAGAACATAACCTGCCAAATACATGTCATTAAATACATGTCATTAAATACATGTCATTAAATACATGTCATTAAATACATGTCATTAAATACATGTCATTAAATACATGTCATTAAATACATGTCATTAAATACATAAGACTAGTCATACTCTTCTGCTTTAAACAATACATCTATTTAGTGGCACAATTTTAAACCATGCACGTTATATAACACTGAAAAAAATGTGTATCATGTCTACTTCAGAAACACAGATAACGTCTGTTTTCAGCTTGATATAGGACTCTCAGAGTTTGTTAACTCAGTTAAGACATATAAGCAATATGTAGAAATTGAAGATCATACTCAGACTACCTACTTCATGTTCCATTTCAGATATAGTTGTGTCTAAAAAGTAACAAGCTTTTAGTGACTATTTTTGCCACTAAAAGACTTTGTAAAAGGCATTGAAAAAAGTAGCCACTCTAAGATACAAAGCATGCTATGGACAGTAAAGGGAGCCTGAACAACTCTCTGGAGTGCTCCTCCTGGGTATTAAAACCTCTCGAGAGGGTACACAGTATGCATACTGAGGCACCTAACTTGGCAAGCATCCCTTCAATGGATTCAAAATACTGAGTCCCCTTTGCAAACAGACACTGACTCTATCTGACAAGCATGGTGGTAATAATGCCTTTTTCCTAACGTTAGAATGCTCAGCCTCACAGATGAACTTGTGGCTGCAAGTTCCTAGGAGAGTACTGTAACTACTAGTAGCTGTGCACCGAGCAGTAAGTACTACTATATAGCAAGGATCTCAATATTCAAGATGCTATGAGAGACTAAACAAGAATCAGGTGGATCTTTTTTTTTAGCCTAATAATGAGAATATTCCCTTAGAGAAACGGTGCATACTCCAAACGCTTAGAAGTTTACATGATAACATTTAAATGCAAGTCTATGCAGCACAAAAACATAGCAGCAGTCTTTGCAAGAGATACTAGGACTGCAGGCTTCTCCTTTTTTGCAGAGCTACTACCCAAAGATGCAAAATTTATAGAAAAGGATAAGCAAGAGAAAGGGCAACGTATAGTGATTCCTCTAGGAAATTAAAATCCTGTATTCTAAGGTGTTGAAAACTTCAGAGAATTCTAGTAGTGAGATGTGAGCAGTTTGCACAGCCTCTGCTTATCAACACATCCTGGATAACAACAGCTGAGTGTAACATGGGAAAAGATTATCCCAAACTGTTTCTTCTCTGAGAGGGTGTTTGCCCCCAAACTGGTAGTGTTGCGGGCGACTAACAACAATGAAATTTACTTAAGGCAACCATCAACCACATCAAATAGTAACCACGGAATTACCAAGAAACTTCTGAGCAGAGAAGGTACCGTCTTGAAAAGAAGCATTAAAGAGTGAGAGCAAGGTAGAAGAGCAGCAGCCTAACCAGGTTTGATGTGCCGGCACCAGAACCTTCTGCCTAGGCCTGACACAGCCGCCTCGCTGTCGGATGCTGTGAATAACCTACATTTCAACTGCTGGGCTGACAGAACAGGGTTAATCGCACAGTGACCCACACCTCAAGGATGTGTGTGTGAGCTCATAGGGACCTTTCTCACCAGTGTGTGGATTAGTAGACTGCAGGAAATGGCACACACAGGCAAAGCTAGTTTTCCCACCACATTTCCAACACAAAATGTATTTAAATAGACAAATGTGCATTCTCAGAAAAATGAATGTGTGCTTGTCAGTTCCACTCATTTTTGAGAGAGCGTTTGCATGCATAACCATGCAAATTTGAGTACACTCTCTGGAATTAGTTTTAGGAGGGTGTTCAGATAGGTGTTTATTAATATTTGGTAAGGGCCCAGTGCTGTGGTTTGGCTGTTGTGTGGCTGACACTGAACCTTTTCACTGATCACTAGTTCACTGACTGTCAGCTAATTACTTGCCCTTAATAAATCAATAGAAAACTTTGGTCCTGAATTGACTTAAATCATTCTAATTAAGCCATTTTCCTCTGTGATAATGACATAGATTTTTTTCCTTAGCAGATATTATTTAGGTTAATGTGATATGGACTTCTTGTTGTTTTCATGTTCTATTTAAAAAAAAATGAATTAGCAAACATAGCAGCTACATAGAGGTTATAATTCCATATTTTCTTCCTTACAATATCCTAAAATACAATTATGCCTGTTATTTTCCATTGCGTGTGTTACTTTAAAAAGGGGGCCAGTTAGCTCAGTCAGTTGAGCGTGGTGATAACGATGCCAAGGTCACCGGTTTGATTCCCGTTCGGTCCCCATGTGTTGCCTGATCTAGTCGAGAGGTGGCATCCCTGGTGACAGGGAGGCTGGATTCAAATGATCTCTAAGGTCCCTTCCAGCCTAGGCCGTTCTATGAATCTATGAATCATAAATCTGGTGGTTCATTCTATGAACTAGCTTAGAAGCTTCATATCGCACCTACTTCAGAAGTAAAATCAAAGTAATCTGTTGTTGATGGCTTACAATTTTTAAGCATTAGTGTTTGCTTTAGCACTTCTGAGTATCTGACACACCAGTCTTCAACAAAATACACTTATTATTTAAGTCAGAAGAATATGATTCAAAAGAATTCTTTATTGTGTGTATTGTTTAGAAACATAATTGCTAAACAAAACTGTGTATGTTAACAAATGTGAATGTTAAAAACAAACGTTAACAGTAAAAAACTCAGTCTCTCATACAACATTTCCTAAAATCTTTAATGCATAATTAATGTAAAATTAACTGATTAGCT